ACATGGTAGCACCCCTGGACCGCAGTATTCCCTTGAACGTGAACGGTACCATGTTGGACATGGTAGCGCCGCTGGAACGCAGTATTCCCTTGAACGTGAACAGTACCATGTTGGACATGGTAGCGGTCCTGGACCGCAGTATTCCCTTGAACGTGAACGGTACCATGTTGGACATGGTAGTACCCCTGGACCGCAGTATTCCCTTGAACGTGAACTGCATCAAAGAGTTACACGCGTACCGTCCCTCTTACACGCAGCAAACCGCCCCCAAAAGTCAGATCAAAACCGTGGGCGCAAGAACAACCGCCGATGACATCAGGTGAAAGCGTGTGCGCAGGGCTGAGCGAGTGCACGTGAGCAGGTGTGCTTATCAGGTGGCAGGCATCTCTGCAGTGCTGAGCGGGTGCGCTGAGCGGGTGTGCTTTTTAGGCGGCAGGCGTGGCTACACTGCTGACCGGGTGCACTTGAGCGGGTGTGCTTATTAGGTGGCACGCATGTCTGGAGTGCTCAGCGGGTGCGCTGAGCGGGTGTGCTTTTTAGGTGGCAGGCGTGCATACACTGCTGAGCGGGTGCACCTGAGCGGGTGTGCTTATTAGGTGGCAGGCATGGATACACTGCTGAGCGGGCGCAATCGAGCGGGTGCGCTTGCCATCTGGCAGGCGTGTGTGCAGTGCTGAGTGGGTGCACTTGAGCGGTTGTGCTTAGCATGTGGCAGGCGTGCCTGCAGTGCTGCGACTACGCGCTTGAGCGTGTGCTTCGCATGTTCCGTGTGCATTGATGCGACCACGCGCTTGAGCGCAGGGAAAACGCTGGTATTCGTGAGTTATGGCACGCATGGACGGCGCCAGGAGAAGGCTGCCGCGATTCACTGCGGGCCGCAGCGCATTCTGCGTCCGACGTGAGAAAACACTGGTGCGCACAGTACTTTGAGACTGTCAGAAGCGCGGCGTTATTTCCCTGCGGAGGGAACAACAACAGCAGCAGCAACAACAACAACCACGACGACGACGACGAGCATGACGTCGACAGCAACAACAACAACAATACCGACACCAACAGCATCAGCAACAACAACAGCAGCAGCAACCACAACAACGACAACACCAATCACAACAACTGCAACAACTGCAACAACAGCAGCAGCAAGCGACAACAACAGGCACAACCGCAGCCGCAACAACAAAAGCAACAACAACAACGACAACAACAACGACACCAACGAAGAAAGCAACGGCAGCAGCGACAGGAACAACAGCAGCAGCAGCAGCAACGACCACGACCGCAACCACGACCACGACCACCACCCCCACCGCCACCACCGCAACAGCAGCAGCAGCAGAATCAGCAGCAGCAGGAGCAGCAGGAGCAACACCAGCAACAGCAACAGCAACAGCAGCCGCAACAGCAACAGCAACAGCAACAGCAACAGCAACAGCAACAGCAACAAAGAACAGCAACAGCAACAGCAACATCAGTGTCAACAGCAACATCATCAGCAACAACAGCAACAACGACAGCAACAACGGTGTCAACAGCAACACCATCAGCAACAACAGCACCAACAACAGCAACAACGACAGCAACAACCGTGAGAGCAGCAACAAGACGAAGAACAAGAAAAAGCCAAGAAGAACAACAAGAAATATAACAAGAAGAACAACAAGAAATATAACAAGAAGAACAACAAGACGAAGAACAATCAGTGCAACAAGAAGAACAATACAACAACAGCAAGAGGGAGAACAATGGCAATACCACGAAGAAGAGTAATGAGAACAAGAAGTAGAACAAGAAGAAGTGCAAGAAGAAGTGCAAGCAGAAGAACAAGAAGAAGAACAAGAAGAAGAAGCAAGGAGAAGAACAAGAAGAAGCAGAACGAGAAGAAAAATGACCAATGACAAGTGGAAGCTCGTGCAGAACCGGAAAAAGAACAATGAGCAGAAGAAGAAGAACACCAAGAAACATAATAACACCAAAAACATCAAGCAGAAGCGCAATACGACAAACAAGAAGACCAACAGCAAGAATAACAATAATAGTGCCAAGAAGAACAAGAACAAGAAAAAAAGCAAGAAGAACACTATGCAGAAAACTAAGTAGGACGCAGCAGTAACACGAACGAGTTCCAGCAAGAAGAAACGCAAGAAGAATAGCCACAAGAGGAAGGAGAACGAGAAGAAAAGGGACGAAGACACATAAGAAGAGGACGGCGCGAGCCAGAAGAAGAAGAAGAAGAAGAAGAAGAAGAAGACGAATACAAAGAGGAAGAGCAAGAGGAAAACCAAGGAAGAAGAAGAAGGAGAAAAAGAACAGCAATGACGCGAGCAAGAAAATGAACAGGAAGAAGAAGAGAAGAAGACTGCCAAGAAGAATGCCAAGAAGAGGAAGAAGCAGAAGAGGAATTAGAAGAACAAGAAGGGAAGGCGAAGAAAAAGAAGAGCAAGAGGAATCAGAACAAAAACAAGCAGAAGAAGAACACCAAGAAGAACAAGAAGAAGCGAGGACGAAGAAAACTAATAAGAGGAAGAAGAAGAATAAGAACAATAAGAAGAAGAACAAGAAGAAGAACAACAATAACAAAACAACAAGAAGGCCAATAACAATAATAAGATGAAAAAGTAAAGAAGAACAACAAGAAAAACAACAAGAAAAACAACAAGAAAAACAACAAGAATAAAAACAAGGAGAGCGACCAGAAGAAGAAGGATGACAAGAAGAACATAAGCAACACGAAGAAGAGCAAGAGGAAGAACAACAACACAAAGAGCAAGAAGCAGAAGAACAATAAAAAGCCTAAGAAGAAGAAGACAAACAAGCAGAGCAAGAACAAAAAACAATATCAACACGAAGAAGAGGAGCAAGAAGAAGAACAAGAAGAAGGAGAGAACGAAGAAGAAGAGCAAGAATAACCACAAGGAACATAAGAGAAGAAGACGAAGAAGAAGACAAGAAGAACAAGAGCAAGAGGCAGAGCAAGAAGAGCGCTAACAAGAAGAGCAGCGAAACAACACCAAAACAAAGTGGAAGAGCAAGAAAAAGAAGAAGGCAAGCAAGAGCAACAATAGCAACAACAACGACAAGAAACAGAAGAATCAGAAGAAACAGAAGATGACCAATACTACTATGAAGACCAAGAATCGCGAGAACAAGAACATCTAGAGCAAAGAACCAACAAGAACAACAAGAAAAACAAGAGCAACAAAAACAACAAGAACGACAAGAACAGCTAGAACCACAAGAACAATCAGAACATCCAGCAAGACAAGAACAACCAGAACCACAAGAAGAACGTGAACAACCAGAATACCCGGAACAACCCGAACAGCCAGAGCAACCAGAACAACCAGACCAACCAGAGCAACAAGAATAGCAAGAATCGCAAGAACAAGAACAACAAGAACAACAAGAAGGGCCACGACAACCAGAACAACAAGAACACTAAGAACAACGCGAGCAACAAGAGCAACACGAGCAACAAAAACAATAATAGCAACCAGAGCATCAAGAACAACAAGAACAACACGAACGACGAGAATAGCAATAACAACAGGAGGACCAAGAACAACAAGAACGGCGCGGGCTGCCAACAACCGGAACTCCGAACAGCCAGAACAACCAGAACAACCAGATCAACCAGAGCCAGCCACCAGAACAACAAGCGCAACAAGAACAAGAAGAACAACAAGAACAACAAGGAGCAACCGAAACAGTAGAAACAGCAACAAGAGCAACAAGAGCAGCAAGAACTACAACTACAACCGCGACAAAAGGGACAACGCAAGCAACAACACCAACGACAACAACAACAACTACAACGACAAGTGCGAACTACAAACTATGTCTACAACCACACTCACAACTACACCCGCATCAGCCGCAGCAACAACCCCCCCCCCCCAAATAAATAAACAAATAAATACAGAAATAATTCAATAAAACAGTATTCTTAAAAAATAGCAAAGAAACTAGTAACTACAAAACAGAAACAAAAACAAAAGCAAGCAAAAACATATTTAAAAGTAGATATTAACTAAATAAACACGCGCAAACCAAAACAATGAAACAACTTCTCTTCTCGACTGTTAGGTTGTTGCTGGACCAGATGGCGGACTTCGACGTGCGAAAAGCCAAGTGCACCGTTCCTTCGGACCGGAATGCCATCGAGCAGCAGGTGAAAGAGCTCTTCAAGGAGGTCAGGTTTGTGTAGGGCTTGGTGCGTTTTTGTGGGTGTAGAGTCTGTTTCCCTTTGGTGCTGGTTTCCCTTGGCGTGCTGGTCGTGTAGGGTAGGCTTTTTTTTTTTCTTCTGTCCAGTTTGCATATGGTATGGGGGGAATCTGGATTCCCGCTTGTGGGTGTGTCTTAACAAGGGACCCGAACACGCCCAGACAGGGTGCAAAGCATCACGGCAGACGGATCCTACTAAAGTACAACATGCTAAGAAGAACAATATCAAGTTACTTTGACGGGAGACCACCAAGAATCCCTGAAAATGCCCGGTGTAAGGGGACCCTAGCACAAGGAAACTGCCCTCAGCTTTCCTGAGGACCATCGGCCCATGTCTTGGCTGCCGCCTGAGGGCGTGGACGAGGGGGAGGCGGGCGGATTTTTGCGGAGCACCAATGAGAAACTAGCGAAACCCAACGAGAACTCGACGAACACTAGCAAAAACCCAACGAAGCTCACTAAACAGCAAAGGATCTGGAGATGCGCCTGCATTTGTGGCGAGGTTTTTTCGAGCGAGCATTTTATGCTTGTCGCTTCCAAGTTCGTTCTGAAGAGGCACTTGAGCCCCTTCACCCGCCCCTACCCAGTCCACAACGGTGGTGGCGGAGCAGGTTTTCCAAACGAGGATCGCGAGACAGATGGTTGCTCCCCAAGCCGAGGCGGACAGATAGAGCGTGCAGAGGAAACAAACAACCTTTCAATGACAAGCTGCCGGCATTGTTCGGTGGACGTGCTAGCTAGTTTAGACATGACGAGCTTATTGAAGATTGGTTGACCATCACACTGCGAACTGCTGGACAACGAGATGCTAACCCCCACGGAAGGAGCCAAATACTTCAAACACGCGCTCAGGAAGCGCTTCTTCGCGGGAAGCACGAACGTGTATCGCTGCTGACTGCGAACTTTCCACCTACCAAAGGAGACACACGACCTCTTCGACAAGTTTCGAATTGAATGTGAAGTGTGTCAAGCAGCCAGGACTTCAGCTTCAAAAAGGAGGTAGGAGTTTCTTTGATCGTTGCCGGGGGGCTCCCGGAACAGGAGAACGCATCATGGTTTTGGTCATTCTGGATGGAACACACCATGGCCAAGCAGAGATCGCGGTAAGACGCCCCCAAGTTATGCTTATGCTAAGTTCTACCAAGCAGATGGAGGAGTAACGCCACCCGTCGCGTTTGGAAGGAGACCAGATCTTTGCGACTCTGACAATTGGCAGAGCCGAAGATCTTGCAGCACAAATCAAAGCCAGCTTGCAAGGCTCAAAGCCACCCCATATTGGTGGCAGAACTCCCCTGGTGCTCCTCTCCAAAGTGACCAAGAAAGGACTGACTTTTGCCAATCAGTGCAACCGGAACAAGACGTAAAAAAACACGGCTGGAATCCATACAGCTCGAAAATGACCAACTGCCAATGACGATGAATCCTTTGCTTAAGGAAGGACACCCAGGTATGACTCTACTCCCAAAAGCTTTGACCCATGGCACCACGATACAACCAATGAGAGATGCCACCGCGACAAACTCATCTCACTGACACATCATAGATATGACTGTTTTCGGCTTTCTCCATCCGTGTCACACAACCAAACATATTTGAGTGTCCCCCTTTACTACAATTCTTTAGGTGGAACTAGCTACCTGCACATCATAGTAGACTTGAAGTCAAAAGAGCACCGATCTCTTTTGGCACGCACAAATGCATGGCCGCGGCAAGTATTTCGATGCTGAAGGTCGAAATGCACTTGTGTTTGTTTTGTTCTGTTTTGGTCACAATTTCACCTTCATGCAATCACATCGTACACGCCTGACGCCATCTATTTGGTTCAATGCTTTTCTATGCATATAGCGCCATTGCGCATGAGTAAAAAAGGTTTGCTGCATGCCTCCAATCAGACAGGACGTATACAAAGACAACAAGGGAACATCAGCGTGATTCTCCTGAGGGAGAGAAATACAAGGGCAAATGTATTGTAGAAGTGTGATTCAGGTAGCCACTTCAGGCAGTGACTTGCCAACTTTCCACCGTTGAGTGGTCCTTTTTCAGTGTGTTTCTTTGTTAGGGTGAGCCAACTTTGCAGGCATCGGGCGGTCAGCGTTTGCAGCGTGGCCCGGGCCCCTCAGGTCAAACCTTGCAACTTTACACAGACATTGCTTATAAATTCAATTACATGAGTTAGATCAAAGTGTTTCTCTCTCTCTCTCTCGACAAAAAAAGATGTATATCTACTTATGCATGTATGTGCATCCTTGTGCACACTTGGTCTAGTTTCTTGCTTTGCACATGTCCGCAGGTAAGCGTCAACAACCGCCTGAGCCAGCTGTGGCTGGATCCCCTTGACAGTTTCAACGCCTATGTTCGGGGCGCTTTGCGGGAGAACGTGATCAGGCAGATCGGCAAGGAGCCTGGCTCGGTCCTCGATCCTGAGAAACATGGTGTTCACCCCACGCGAGCGCCAAACACCGATTGACAAAGGTTTGTCTTGGAATTCTCCCTGAGTAGTACAGGCTTGCCCCCTTCAAGATCGACAAGGTTTTGGACAAGCCCGCGGTTCTGAGATTCTTTGGAGGTGGAGCCCCTTTGGTGCTCGGCCTTGACGGCTCTTGTCGTTTTGAGCCCAAAAAGGGTTCTGGTGAATCGCGCCCCGTGGAGGCGGGGGGTTGTGTGGTGAGAATAAGCCTTGTCATGTTAAACAAGCTTTAGCTTGTAACACCGTGAGTTTTCGCAGGCTTGATCAGGCAACAACACCGCAGGCTTTCTGGGTTTCGCACGGGTCGTTGCGCATCCGGCGCCAACCACAAGTACACATCTGAAAATACTTTCACCCTTCTACATCTGCCAAGAGCATGTCTATAGCGACTTCAGTGAAACAAATCTTCCAGCGATGTAGAGCAATGTTCAATTGCTATTCCAGGCTAGGAATAATGATGCAATGAAGCTGTTGTAGTTAACAGGGCAAGGCAGATTGAGTGACTTCTCTCACTAATAGTCACGTGGTTCGCCGGCAATGGCTCCGAAATCAGAGTTCAGCCCAAATTCACGACGTTTCCCCCCCAAAAAGAATAAATAAAGAAGTGGCGACCATACATGTGTTTTTGGGAGGAGCTGTACGTACCATGGCAGACCTGTCTCACCGCCTTCTTGCCCATGATCCTCTACTCCGTGGTGAACGTCTTGGGCTGCGACAACGGGCCCTGTGAGGTCTCGGCCAGACTGGCGGGCTACAGCTCCTCGGACCGAAACCCGAAACAGAGCAAAAACGAAGCCGACGGGCGGTTTAGTTGGGGGGGTATCATACGTTCGAGTTGTTGGGGTGAGGTTGGGGTTGGTTGGGCTACATTTGGTTGGGGTTGGTTCGTTTGTGAGGCGGGGTGGCTGTGGTTGTCAAAACCGTTTTGGGCTTCCATTTTGGTTGGAAGGTGAAGTCACCCATTTTGGAAGGTCTATTTTAGTGGTTGGATTGGGATACGATTTGGATTTTGAGCCATCGGGTGTTTCGGTGTTCGCCCAGGCGACTGTGAACTCGAATCCCTTATCTCATTTTGGAAGCTCGCAGGTGAAAAGCAAACCCCAGACGAGGATTTAGTTGAATGTCCCCAACAAGTTGGGGGTGCTTCCAGTTGGCCAGTGGGGATTGAGAGTGAAGCCAAAGACAAGAGGGTTTGGTTCCTACTTGGCTTAGTTATTGCCAGACTTAGCTTAGCTTTTCAACCTTTTGCCCTTTGGTTTTCCATGGTTTCCCTTGCAACCAGGAGAAGGCTATCTTTGTGCAGAAGTTGGGGAACCCGCAAAATCATGGTTTTCCTTTTGGTTTCTTCTCAATTCCAAAATGGAAAGGGGGAAACCCCAAAACGAGAGACACACCTCCGCTCAAAAACGAGCGGTTCAAACCGAGGCTCGGCGAGCCAATATATGATCGTTCAAAGCATCGGCTGGGTGCTGTGCATTGCGCTGGCCTTCCCGCTGACCTACCCCACCTTGCTGCAGATGCTCGCTTAGAGCCATAGGTCCTGAAACCTTTAGTCTTTGTCGACTTTTTGGACTTGGCCTTTGGTTTTTCGGGTTTGTGTAGGCTTGACTTTGGACGTTTGGACTTCTGGTTTCGGACCTTTCGACTCTGGGCACATCGATGCGCTCTCGGACTGGGATCTCAGGATGCTGACGTGCGCGTTGTCCAGCGGCTGCCCGGCTCCGGTGCAGCTGGTGCTGGCCTTCCTCTGCTGCCCGGCGGCCTACGTCTACTGCTACATCTGCGGGGGCCTCATCTGGGCGTCCTTGATTTCGCTGGTGGAGGACTACTCGGTCGGCCAGCTGCTGGTCTTCATGTCGGTCATGGCCTTGCTGGTGGCCCAGGCGGTTTCGTTGCCCAGGTCTTTTTGCAGCCAAAAGTGGGCAGTTTGGGTGGAGTTCACCAGTCAGCAGCTACTTTTGCAGGGAAAAGCCACCAATTCCCACTTTTGAAGGGGAAATCCAGTGATCCCTGACAGGTTATGTGGCTTTTTATCAGGAACTCGCATTTCAAGAACCTGCCGAGTCGATGTATCAGGCGACAGACCTACCAAGAAGTCAACTCCGGATTTCTCTTTGATTGTGCCTAAGCGGGCTCCTAAAGGAGACACCCCCATCGGACATACGGATCCCTCAGACCGAACCATTTTTTGGGCTGCAAGGCAGTGCCTTGCACGCACAAAGGAACGTGGGTGCCTCAGTCGTTCGACCTGGCTCAAGAGGGGGCTCTCCATGTTTCCGTGTGGCGCTTGACGCATCCACAGAAGCGAGCTTGAGATCCTAAGTGATAGAAGGCTCCTGGTGCGACCTCAGATATGAGGTGCGGCGCAATTTCAGTTGGCTCCAAAATTACCAGTCGGATGGGAAACATCGGCTGGACACCGACAAGAAACCAACTAGGAATTGGCTCCCCGATCAAGTGGGTTCTAGGCGCAAAAGGCCTCACGGAACACAGTCTGTTCTCTTTGATCCCACCTGGAAACCTCCACCCAATTTCGACCACCAAGTGGTAAGCGAGCTGAGTTTTCGATCCGCCCTTCTTGCGGCTTTTGGCTGAACAATTCCGCCCCTTCGGAAAGGGTCGCTGGTTGCCGTTTTTTTTCTCTGATTTCGGGGGGGCTGTCAAGACAGGGACGGAAGCCCGAGCCTCTCGGGACTTTTAAGGGTTTCATCCCAGAGCCCCGGATGGGGTTTTGTCGCATGCAGAAAACGGAGGACCGATATGTTCAAGGCGCACCTTTTTCGGTGTCCATTGAAAACTAATGCTGGGTGATTTTGTAGATGGCGATTCCAAATCACCTTGGGAATTGGATCCATCTACAAAATCACACTCTCAAAATTGCAATGGTTCTCTTAAACAGTTTCCCTCGCACCAACCTAAGAGTATCCTTCGCCTGAAAGCAACAGAAGCTTCCGTGGAGGCTTTCAACTTGCAGCAGGGTTCCCTTCAGGTTAGCAAGGGGCTCATTTGGAGCTGAACATTTGAAAAGGGAAGGCCACAAAAAGCATGGACGGTGTTGAACTGAAGATTTCAGAGAGAGTTGGCCATGAAAGCAAGGCACTCGTCTTTCCCCATTTGTATCGTTGAGATGATCAATTAGGATATCGGACCCACAAGCACTGCAAAGGTCCTTCTGGAGGGGTCCTCTTCGCATCCCCTAGGGTTTGACATATCACGCAGTTGCAATCAAAGCCCGGTACTTCCCATAAAGAATCAAATGGGCGGCCACACTCATATATCACTTCCCTGACGAACTGTCATGTCAAGCTT